TTTTGGTGTATGAGACTCCTCACTACAATCGTATATTTGGACCTTCCATTCAGGAAAATTAACAAGACAGAGATACCAATTTTTTTTCGGATATGAACATGGAATTAATAAATAGTTGCAAGCTATCCATAAACGCGCAGCCACCGGCAAATCACCATTCATGTATTGCTATAAAGTCACAGTTAATAAATTCTTTTGAGAATGACTAAAACATTCTGCCATTATATTATGTTGTCATATCAATTGGGCCGCACATTCATGTTCAAATTTGAAGTCCAGAATTGCATATTCTTTGAAAATAAGACTGTAACCTTCATTAATCAACTCTCTCAATAGCTTTAATTCCATTTCTATATGCTAATACAATAAATAGAAATAAATTAGATATGTTGAGCATAAAATAAAATTAATTAAGCAAGGGTTATAAACTTCACTAACCTCAATATTGATATCTTTAGTTGTATCCATTATAGTTTTTATTGTATCTCTTCCATATAAGTTGTCACCTCCTCCAATCTTCCAATATACACTATATGTATATATTAGAGTTTAAATTATTATTAAATCAATGTAATACAATTAATAAAATACAATCAAATTTCTTACCCGGATGAATTCCGTGCCACCCATTTTTTTATTGTTGTATATCTTTCCATGTGATAATCTTCCAACGGATAACGTGAATACTTTATTTCTTATTTTTCTTTCCTTTCTAGATGTTGCCACCGGTTGAATTTGTTGAAATAGTGCTTTCTGGCCACTACTAGAACTAGGAACATTCTGCAGCTGTGAACAAGCAATAACTTCCAGTTTTGATTCCAAATCATCTAATCGATTCATCACATTTTCATTTTTGTCGTCAATGTATGACCTCATTGAAGCAAAATTGTTGTCTATATAAGATTGTATGGAAGCAAAATTGTTGTTCATATAAGACTGCATTCTCAGATACTGATCTTCATGCCATTTTTGTTGTTATTGAAGCATTCCTTGATATTGCTCTTCAAGCCATTTCTATTATTGTTGAAATATTTCTTACTGTTGATTAAGAAATGCTTGATAACAAGCATCTTGTTCTTTTGTTTCTTGAGCAGTATGATAGGAATGCATGCCAGATTGGAAGCTCGAACCCTGGTGTTGATCTTCATACCATTTCTGATGTTGTTTAAACATTTGTCTCTGCTCTTAAAGAGTTTCTGCTTCCTATCTTCTTGATTCATTAATTATGTCTGTCTTCATATTATGACACAAACCAGACATATCTGACAGTACATGCTGCCTATACATATTGAACATTTCTTCCACTTCTTCTCTTCTTACATAGTTGAAATCAAGAGAAGAATAACTAGGCTCCTGAGCTCCAATTGAAGTCTGCACTGTTGAACTACCAGTAACACTTATTTGTTGCTCGTCCATACGTTGTGGAATTTGTTGATGTGCATTCTCAAATTCTCCACCAACAATGCCATCAAAAATAGTATGTTGGTTATCAGTTGGTAATGATAAAGTCAAATACCAAACTTTGTCCAATTCTTCTTTAGTGGGTGCTAACACTGCAAGTACTTCAATATACAAATATAATAAAATATTAGAATACTTTCCTCTCCCACGATTAAATAATTAGATAATTGATAATTAAATGTATATCTAAAATTATCATACCTCTTGGGTAGTGAAAAATTGTTTTACTCTTCTCTCACTCAATATTTTTTTGGCTTCCATCTATGCATTTTTGGAGCCTATAATGTCTTATACATATGTCGTCCAAATTTGTCTCCAACTTGAGGAAATGCTTAATATATCCAAAACTACAACAGAGAATTCAAAATCAATATTAAATACATATAAATCAAAATATAGAGTAAATAAATTAGAAAGAAAAAAATACCTGAAAGGCAAGGGGATATCCATGTAGTATATATCTACATTCATTTTGGTCATACTGTTCCATTCTTTGTATTCTTTTAATATGTGATTGTTACAATGATTTCAACAAAACAAAGTTTGTCTTAGGGTCCCAAGGATACAACAGAAAATCATTCAGCTGCTCAACCTTGCCTAAAGTCCCGTAATCAATATATCTTTCCGTTGGTGTCAAAACACATTCTACCAACATCACCAATTCCAATTTTAATTTATCCTCTGGATCGTCACATAATTGGAATGCATCGCAAAGCATTCTCATGTTAATTCTTTTTTCCTTTCAAAATATTGATCTCTAAGTTGAGAATTGTTGGGATCAAGATTAACAGATACTTCATAGCAAGGTAATCCTGTGATTAAACAAAATTCTTGTAAGCCAAAACGAGCAAGATGATCGTCCAACCTCATTCACACCTCATTCGTTTTACCACAGTCAACAAACCTCATTTTAAATTCATGTATTAGTTTACTGCTAAATTGTTGCTCTTCATCTCTATACATAAATCCATAAAGAAATCCATGAAAATTGTTACTGCTAGAGAGTAAAAGTAATTGATCATCTGCTTGAAGCAATTCTATACAATCTTTTACATATTGGTAATTGGGGTATCGATTGATAGTAGAAGAAAACCATTGGTTTAGTGACAGTATATAATCTAGAGACATTTGCACAGATAATAGAACATATATATGAAAAATGTCATAACGTATACCAACATATGTTCGTGATTTCATATACTTATATATGATATATATCATGTAAGCTGAAAAAAATTGCTGTCAATGCATATCAATAATCAGATTTAATATATATTTTCTAATTCTGAGATTTTGTCTCCAATTTATATATAAAAAAAAACATTATAATTTAACTTTGAAAAAAGAAGCAAAAAAAATAAAAATAAAAAGTGAGTTCCGATCCTTGCAAACTCCCCGCACGAAATTGATGTGGAGTCCCCGCACAGTCTGTGCGAGGACTCCACATGGAATGGGTGCGGAGTCCTCGCACAGTCGGTGCAGAGTCCCTGCACTGTAGGCAGATTTCCCACACGAAGCTCCCCGCACTGTAGGCAGATTCTCCGCACAAAGCCACTTTCTTCCCACACTACCAACTTCATTTTCGCCACAAACTTCACATTTCTTCCACAAATACCAACAGATTAAAAATAGTAAGTTATTCATATAAATAAATATTATTCATAAAAATCAACTTACCTTAGAATTTGTTGCTTAATTCGTTTGAAATAGACTGTAATTAGTTTGAGATTCGTTTGAGATGAATGAATTGAAGATGCACATGAAAAATGAATGAGTTATGAATTTGAGGGGAAGAAATGAAGTAGGTTGGTGAAATAGTTACTAACATTAATTGCATTTGACATTTTTGCAGCAAGATTTTTTTTTTTTTGGCATTTATCTTTTGTCGGCAAGATTCTTTGCTTTTTCTTTTTCTTTTGTTGTGCTCTGCGATATTTTGTCGTCCAAATTATTATCTTCTTTGACCATTTGTATATTATGGACCATGTCCACTGTCTCTCTCTTACACTTCCAAGAAACCATCTCCATACACTTCCAAATATACACCTTCATTTGGTGTTTGTCGAAATTAAAATTATAAATCTAATCTCTTCATATCATTTGCTTTCTAAATAATCTTAAGATTCCATCTTTACTATAGCAAAATTATAAATTATCTTTTACTTATATTCTCACAATTTTTAATCTAATTTTTACTAACTGCCAGAGAAGATTCATGCCAAAAAATCTAATTCAAATTTCAAAAGCATGTTAGGATTATGCCAAGAAAACTAAAATCTCTACATCACTCTAATAAAGACACATTAAATACAATAATCGTGCAACGCACGTGGCATTGACTAATATAGATTATAAATTTTATGATATTTTAGTGAGTATCCGATATGGGAAGTGAAAATTTTGGAATAATGAAAGGAATTCCAACTATTAGTTTCTTTGATTGTTTAATTTATAAATTAAATTGATTATTATTTTTATCTTATTATAATTAATAAAAAAGTAAATCTCTTCAAGTATTTCAATTAACAACATTATACTATTATTTAATATTATTTATCATTTGAAAATTATGTGTAAAGTATAATACAATTTTCAAAATGGAAAAAATTGTGTAATAAATTTTGCGATAATATATAAAATATATTATATTAGTATACTAAATCGGATCGAATTAACCTATATCCATATTTGTTTCATTTAGTTAATGGATTATCGGATTGAAATTTTGATTGAGTTATCAGATTGAGATCATAAATCCATCTTTCATTAATTTCATTGGATTCAGATCAAATTTGAATCAAAATCTAATCCATTGACAGCCCTAATGGCAAGTAGTGTAAAACATTTCATAAAAAAGAGCTAGAAAAAAATTAGAGTTAGATGATGAAAAATCAAAAGGGATTGTCAGCCTGTGTTTGGATGAATTTAAGCCTATTAAGAGCGTAATTTATATGGTGATTAAAGACATAATTAGATGTTAGGTGTATTGTTCTAATTATTTTCCTTTTCAAAGTAGCGGGCCTAATTATTCCTTAATAATTTCCCAACAAAGGTTACAACGCCACATGGTCTCTGTCATAGTGGCATTATTAAAACGAATGACACGAGATAGAAGCGCAATTTAATTATTGCTATTAAAGGATAGTGGTTCTATGGTATTGAAGTACGATGTGGAATGAAAATGAATAGTTGATGCTTTCTATTTCGCAGTCTATCAAAGTAATCGTTTCACCTTTTACGAGTAATTGTGTGACAATCTTGGGAGATCTCAAATTTGTTGTGGATAATTTTTCTTGACCATTGGTTTTTTGAAAACAGATAGTAGCAATTCGATTTTCTGAGGTGCATCAGCCGAGTATAGACACATAGGAAGTTGAAGTCTTATCGTGCATTGTGAATTTGATGTCTTCTTTTCCGATTCTAGTTTGCTATTATAATACCCCAAAATTTTCGTAATATGAATTATTATTTAGTTTCAAATTATGACGTTGTCAGGAAAAATAATGGAAAATTAATTTTGGACCAATAAACTTAATTCTCACTGTTTTGCTTGAGAAGCTGGCCTCTGGTGAGCTGATGAAATTTCTGCGTCGTATAAGAATCGATGACCAGCTGGAAGAATGGCGTACAACTTTGTCGATGATCCAGGCCGTGCTTACTGATGCTGAAAACAAGCAAACAGGAAACGTAGCTGTGAAAGAGTGGCTGAAGGATCTGGAAGATTTGGCTTATGATCTTGAAGACTTAGTGGATGAGTTGAATACCGAAGCTCTGCAGCGCAAATTAAATGAAAATAAAGGCAGCACCAGCAAGGTAAGAAAGCTCATCCCAACCTGTTGTACTAATCTTTCTTACAATGATTTCATGTTTGATCGCGGGATTGCTTCCAAGCTAAAAGAGATTAGTGGCCGATTGAAAGCTCTATCCAAAAAGATAAAAATTCTCAGATTAGTGGAGAATGTGAGAGGGAGGTCTAATGAAATTGCCAACAACTTCGCTCGTGGTAGAATCGGAAGTTTATGGAAGAGAGAAAGACAAAGAGGAAATACTCAAAATCTTATTTGGTGTTGAATCAAATGATAGTCAAATATCTGTGATTCCAATTGTGGGCATGGGAGGTGTCGGCAAAACAACTCTTGTCAAACTTGTGTTTAATGATGAAAGACTGAAGGGCAAGTTTGATCTTAAGGGATGGGTTTGCGTTTCAGATGAATTTGATGTTGAAAAAGTAACGAAAAAAATTCTTGAGTCAGTTTCTTCTGGTGGAAAGTGTGATTATGAAAATTTTGACACGCTTCAGGTCAAACTAAAGGAAAGCCTTTCAAACAAGAAATTTATGATAGTTTTGGATGATATTTGGAATGATGATTATGGAAAATGGGACAGCCTATGCAGTCCTTTTCTTGCTGGAAAACCTGGAAGCACAATCATCATTACCACTCGACAAGAAAGGGTGGCCAAAATCATGTCTGAAATTCCAGCATACAATCTGGATCTGTTATCAGAGGGCGATGCTTTATCATTGCTAGCTCAACATGCATTTGAAGCTAAAAGTTTTGACAGTCATCCAGATTTAATAGAGATTGGTAAGTCTATGGTAAGAAGATGTAAGATGTTGCCCCTAGCAGTAAAGGCCATTGGGGGGCTTCTTCGCGTGGCGGATGGTCCTGAAGGATGGGAAGAGGTGTTGAAAAGTGAAACCTGGACGGATGAAGAAAATAGTGAAATTCTTCCTGCTCTCAAACTGAGTTATCACCATCTTCCTCCTGAATTGAAAAGATGCTTTGCTTACTGTGCTCTCTTTCCCAAGGACTATGAATTTGACAAGTTCCAACTAGTGCACTTTTGGATGGCTGAAGGTCTTCTGCAGGAATCTAAGAAAAATAAGTCAATTGAAGATGTAGGTAGTCAATATTTTGATGAACTACTGGCTAGATCATTCTTCCAACAATCAAGTGACAATGCTTCATGCTTTGTGATGCACGACCTCCTTAACGATCTAGCTATGTCTGTTGCTGGCGATAAATGTTTGAGGATGGATGGTGCACTGCAGGAAAATCTTCCTGGTAAGGTTTCTGTAAATGTCCGTTACTTGTCATTCGAGCGCAATGAGTATGAAACTTACCCTAGATTTAACTTTCTCGACAAAGTTCCAAAATTGAGAACATTTTTGCCACTACAGTATGGTTTTCACTTATCCCAAAGAATTTTGCTTCAACTATTCGCAAATTCATGCTGCTTAAGATTTCTATACTTGAATGGTTATGGGATATACGAGTTGCCAGATTCTATTGGTGATTTAAGACATTTACGATACTTAGGCCTAGCTGAAACTCCGCTGACCTGGTTGCCTGAATCTGTGTGCACTCTTATCAACTTACATGTGTTGATTCTAAGTGGTTGTACGAGACTTACCAAATTACCCACAAGCATGGAAAATCTTATTAATCTTAGGCATCTGGACATTTCTGATACTGGTGAATTACATGAGATGCCTCGGGGAATTGCTCAACTAACAAGTTTGCAAACATTAACTAAGATGACTGCGACTAAAAATGATGGAATGAGGTTAAAGGAGTTGGGAAATCTATCATTTCTACAAGGTGATATTTCTATTGAGGAATTGCAAAATGTTGTGTATGTTCAAGAAGCAACGGGTGCAAGGCTAATGGATAAGACAAGCCTCAACGAAATAAGGTTGGCATGGAGCGAAGACTTTCATGATTCTCGAAATAAGATTTTAGAATTGGACGTGCTTAATGCATTAAAGCCCCATAAAAATTTATCAACACTTGAAATCATGTATTATGGGGGTGAGAATTTCTCCAATTGGATTGGAGATTCAGCATTTTCTAAGTTAGCAAAGATAAGCTTCGAATTTTGTAAAAATTGCACGAGTTTGCCACCATTAGGGCAACTACCTTCTCTAAGAGACTTGAGTATTCGAGGCACTGATCAAGTGAAAGTGATTGGACCTGAATTTTATGGAAATAGAGGCCCTGGAGAATTACGTTTTCCATCACTCATTAGTCTGACCTTTGAGGACATGTCTAACTGGGAGGAATGGCATGGAATAGAAGGTGTTATCAAACTTCCTCGGCTACGCAAATTGAAGATAAAAAATTGTTCAAAATTGGTCAGGCTTCAAGATCCCTTACTGCCATCCCTTCGTGAATTAAAAGCTATAGAGTGTAATAAGGTGGTGCTAAATCAGATGCAGAAATTGGAATCTTTAACTCGAATAAAATTGACGAACATTTGTGGATTAACTTCGGTTATCAAAGCATTTGACCAGTTTCCTTCAACGCTTGAAAGTTTGAGCGTTGATGGATGTGAGGACCTTGTGACTCTATTGCCAAGTGATGATACCGCACAAAACCTTGTCAACCTACGGAAAGTGTATGTTGAAAGTTGTCCTCAACTATCGTCCCTTCAAGAGATTGATGTTCTTCCTGGTCTTAGGAGTCTTACGATAGCAAAGTGTGGCGCTTTGGAGTTGTTGCCTAATAAAATATCTTTTCTTGAGAAGTTGATTATCAAAGACTGTCCATTATTAAAGACGGTGATGAAGCTACAGGATTGCAGCACCTCGCTCAATGATCTGTCGATTTGTACGTGGGTGAATTTGAATTTGACAAATTTACTAGGCTCGGGCCACGATTACACAAGTCTCACTGATATAACCTTATGGGATTGTGATGGTCTAGAGTCATTTCCCGATGGAGGCTTGCCCACACCAAATTTAAGGCGGTTACTTATAGGGTATTGTCGACATCTCAAATCTCTACCCGATCAGATGGATCTACTTTCGGCCCTTTTATTCCTGTTGGTGTCTAGCTGTGATTCATTAATTACACTCTTTCCCCAAGGGGATATTCCCCCAAATCTTACTGATTTGGACGTGATGAGTTGTGCTTCATTAATTACACTCTTTCCCAAACAGAATATTCCCCCAAATCTGTCTCGCCTTGACATCTCATATTGCCAGAAACTAAGGCCGCTGGGGGAATGGGGCCTACACACACTCACCTCTCTTGATTCCTTTTCATTTAGTGGATGTCCAGAGCTGGTTTCCCTCACTAACAATGCTGACGAAGAACACTGTGTGCTTCCTCCATCTTTAACTACGTTGTCGTTGATTGGCCTGCTGAATCTGGAAACCCTATCAAACGGCTTCCAAAGTCTCACCTCTCTTCAACATATATGTATCGACGAATGCCCAAAGCTTGTGGCGTTGCCTTTGGAAGGCCAGCTTCAAAAGCTTTCGGGCCTTCACATTTACCGCTGCCCACGTCTTGCGAAACGGTGTTTGAAGAACAAAGGAGACTACTGGCCCATCATTGCTGACATTCCCGATGTCCGAATTGGTTCCCGTTCCATCCACGATCCATGTCCATGAATTCAGTTACACGAGGTAATAGATTTAATTTGATACCTATGAATCTCAACGTCATTTCATGCTGAACACATTTCGACATTTCTGTCAATTTTGTTTTCAAATCAGAATGTGAATTTTCTGCAGCAAATAGTGAATCTACACTTTTTCTAACATCTATTCAAGTGTTCATGCTACTCTGTATCTTATATTTGTGCTTCTGCTCTTCAGTATGAATCAATGTCAGAGCCGATTTACCAACAATCGAGTAATTGATTGGCTATGGCGCTAAAATCTGCCTTTCTTCTCCTCTTGTATGTGTTATATTAAGAGTAAATTTAAGTTATTAATATTTTGCTTCAATCTGCTTTAGCAAACTAGAAATGGATTGATTCAACTTACTATACGTTTATGCATTTTTGAATTTTCATGTTTACTATATGATTTAACAAACTGGAAATGGGTGTGCATTTTTCAAACCTTTTTTGTAGAGTGGACGTTCTTACACTATTTGAATGAAACAAATAAAAAATTCATTTTTTTGGTGTAGGCATTTTCTCATTAATTGTAAGAACGCAAGATGGAATGAAGGTGCCTCTTCTATGAGGCCTTCAAGTAAGTCTCTTTTTCGATTTACTTTCTGCGTTTGCGTTTAAGTGTTTGTGTAATTGCCACAGTGAAATTATATGGTAGGATCTGTGACTGAAGCTATGTTCAGAAGCATAACTTTTCTTGCCTTCATTATTTAATGATTTTAGAAATATTTTCTGATTATTTCCCGGGTTGCATAGTAAAATTGAATTATTTAATCAAAAGATGGATATTTATCATCTCTTGGCTTCCCTTTTTTTTTTTTAAAAAAAATATCTTTATAGAATTTTTGTAATAGTATTACCTCTTTTTGATCATTTGATTGTTGGAAGATCATACGAGGAATTTCGAGAAAAATGATTTTTTGTGAAAAAAAGGTTTTGTTTGAGTAGGGAAAGTATATCCATCCGTGTGCGTTTAGATCTGTTATTCATATTGATGGATGATATTCCATACGTGGACGCACATTTCATATAGAACATATACTCACTTTGGGTTGTTAGGTACCTGTTATAGCTTTGCACATCTGCTCTCCCTAATGTTTATTGTTGCAACGTTCATATGATCAGATGGTTATTGATGGTGTTAAATGTTACGCTAACTGATTGCTGAAATTGATAGAGTTGAGATGTGACACTGATTTTCTCCGAGCCGCCGTAAGTTTTGCCTCACCCCCTTTTTTCACATTTTGCTTGATACTCTTGTTATCTGTGATTAATTTTGCATTGGTAATATTAGGCTTGCTGCAAGGAAGGCCAAGAAGAAAAAGAAAGTGAAGGATCCAAACAAGCCAAAGAGGCCTCCAAGTGCTTTCTTTGGCAAAAGGTTGATTAGACCATTAAACTGTTCAATGCTATTTCTGCTTTTAGGGAAGGGTTCACGAAACAATCCAAGAAAAAATATCCGAATCAATTGTTGTTGTTAAGTTCATCATTCTTTTTAAATTTTCTTCGAAGGTTAATATTCAAGCCAGATATTTGCACTAGGAGCGTGTGCATGATAATTTTCTTTATGATTTCTAGTTTTCCTTTTGGGAATAAATAATAATATAGGCTGGAAAAGCTGGTGGAGATAAGTGAGTGTCCATGAGTGATGAGGTAAATATATGCAATCTAAGATATTATTTATGTTTTATTCTTCTTCTCTAGAAATTTCCTGTTGTTATGAAAATAAGGAAAAAGCTCCCTTGGTGCAAAAAGACAGAGAAACCAAAGGAGGAATATGAACAAAAATGGCATACTATAACAAGAAATTGACAATCCATCTATGAGAAGCATATCCTTACACATTGTTTAGTTTAGACTACGATATTGAAACAACTTATATCGAACTATTTTTATAGATTGGAAGTGCTAATGATGAGTCTGGCAAGTCAAAGTCTGAGGTTCATGATGATGAGGACAATAAGAGCAATGGAGATGTTAGTTGAGATTAAGCTATACAACCTTTTTTACTTGAAATTTGGTGACCGTGTTGACTAATTATTTTGTTTTAATTAATGTAGGAGGAACATGATGAGTAAGGACTACCACGGAAAATTGGATTCTGGATTCAAGGTGATAACTAACGAACAAACAACTTTCCATCATTAATTTGCGTTTCTAGCTTCAAATTTTGTAAATTGTTTGAATTCAAATTGGGTTAATCAGATTGGTGAAATTAGGATTTCATGAAGAATTATCGTGTAGAAATTGGGCTTCATGTTAATTCTATTGAAATTAATTATTGATAATAAGATTTTCCTCCTCTTTTTTGGGTTGTGAGTGTTGCTAAGGAGTTTGTTTCTTCATTATAGTGAGGGAACAAGCATATCTTCCCTTCCATTAACTCGGGCAAAAAAAGAGAGGAAACATATGTCTTGGTTTTCCTTTTCGGTATGCAATTATTTAGAGGGAATGGGTGGAGGAAGAGGAGGTCGAGTGTTTGTAGACCCATGAGCAAAAAAGGCAGACTACAATAAGAATTTGATAAGTCCATCAATGAAATACTCTATTACAATACACCACGTGCGTTACACACGTCAGGAATTAGTTTGATAAATATTTAATGTGTTACAGCTAATAGCTCATATATTGTTAAATCATTAAATCTCATTCCTTTTGTGAAATCATTGAAGTTAAAAATGTTAAGAGAGAAAAATATTAATTTATTCATATCTTAAATACATCTCTTGGGGTGCAAGTAAATTTAATTTTTCTATAGACATGACATGTATAATTTTGATGGAATGACGTTATTATTCTGCAGATTTCCATCTGGTCGTCTATTTCCAGTCCAAGTTTGGAGACTCATAGCTCAATCATTTACAGGGTCAAGAAAATTGTTAATTATGTCAGTCGCTATGAGCTTGTGGGTGGACCACCTACATGGCCCGCTTTGTATATATTTTGTTACAAGCTCCGATTCACGACAGTTGATGATGTGTTGTTTAAATCAGATTTGCCTTGTACATAGTTTTTGTTGTTAAGGAGTTGCTGGAAGAGGCCAAACCAATCATTATTTAGTGACACATTTTTTAAGAGCAATCCAAGAAACTACATTTGTTAAGTGAAGCCAACGCTCTACTGAAGCAAACAAAAAGATTATGATGATTGAGGATGATCAAGTTCACGTTTCACTTATTGTCCTTCCATTCCCATCTCCTTGAGTAAATATCATTTGTTGTATTACGTGGCTGCCAAACATTTCAAACACTCCTGGGAACATTTTAGATGTAAAAGTCTACATTATGCGAGGAATTTCCTTTTTTCCGAACGGAGAATCGTGAAGGCTGTCTTGTTATTTCCAATCATTTTGCTAGATGATTTTATTTTTCCCTACTTATTTGATAGATGCAATGTTGACGGTAGATGATTGGTTCAAAATCTGACTATTTTTTAAACAGTCCAATGTCAGAATGCCAAGAAATAGGCAGCATTTTCTGGCAATGTCAGCATCTCTCCCAAGTTTAGAGGATGGTGCTTCCACGTTAGTATCAATCATTCTTTCACTTAATCACAAGCTATTGTGAAATTTTGTGTATGCGTGAGTGCGCGTATATAAATAACCATGACATAGTTTACATGCAGGATGAAAAATCTGAAGCCGTGAGGAAGCAAGACGATCAAATAAATAGAGACGCTATTTAATACACAAATTTTAACGTCAGTAATGACTCAATACATAAAAATATAATCCATACAAACACACAATCATTCTGAACAGAAATTTGCTCTCAAGAAACAGCTGGAGTCGACATTAACATGCAGGACAAGGATTCGATGGAGTTACTCATCTTTGCCTGCTCCGTTACACAACAGATTCTTCCCCTGCCTCTGTTATTGAATAAATTTTATATCACTTCGTAAGACTTGAAAACTAAGAAGTTCAATAATTTGGTTTAACAGAGAGATTATACCTTTTACAGGAACAATAATAATTGGTGCGGTTTTACAATTGTAGAAGCAATATTCACTAACGCTGCCTTGTAGCATACTGAAATAGAGTCAAACAAAAATGTTAGTCGAGCATAAACAGGTAGGGGGGGTGAAAGAACAAGGGACAGTGGCACCTTTGCATCAAGCTTCGGCCTCTGGTGCCAAGAACAACAGCAGCGGGCTTCAACCTCTCTGCTTCCTTGCAAATTGCCTTCCCTGCATCTCCTTCCACAATCCTAGCCTTCGACTTTACCTATTTGTAATGTACCAAATTCTATATAAGACACCATTAAAGCTAGAAAATAGCAAATCAATAGAGTTCATGACCGGACTTCCGTTTTCCTCTTTTCAAAAGTCAAATGAGTTTTATAGAAACAATACAACTAATCCAGGTTCACAATATATGAAAGCAAGAATTAGTTTAAATTTTTCGTAATAAAAAGATGAGGATAAGCAAGAGTATCTGAATACAAGAACAATGTAGACACCGAAAGAGATACACCTCTGCATAGAAGATAGATCATAGTATCTGGAAACTATAAAGGGGAAAAGAGATGGCAAGTAGACATGCCAGGCCATTGAATGACATAGTATCAATCAATAAATTATTCAATCAAGCAAAAAATTTAAATTTATGTAAACATTTGGAAAAAAGTCCCTAGACCAACCATTTTTCTAATCGTGAAAATTGGTCTCAAGAAATATTCTTCACATTACAATATGTGAGAAAAATAAAAAAACAAGCTCTATGTCGCTAGCTGTGTCCAGTAGTTGCATGTTTTCTCATATGCATACATTATACGGTGTAATATTTTGTTAATCATTTCATCTCAACACATAATATGCCTTTTTTTAATCATAATTATAAAATGAATAGAGTGTCACTTTTACGTAGGTCTAAAGAGGTTTATGCTCGTAAGAGTGACACGATTTCAGTAGAACAGTACATGTCAACAAAAAGTAAGATGTCTATTCCATATAACCGACTTCAAATTTATTGAAAACAAAATGAATCCATAATTGAAAGCACAGTGTTAATGTCACATAAACTAACCAATATTATTTCTTGCCACATCAAATGGTTCATGAAAACACCACAAAAACACAAAACTACCTAAAAAAAAAATTGAGATCACATTTAGAAAAAAAATAGAAATTACCATAGCAACCTCAAGAGCCTCCACTGCAAGCTTCTCCATAAGAACCTGGGTCGTATCGTAAACAATCTGGTTCTTCAAACCTAACACAAAAAATAAATAAATGCATAAGAATCAAGAAAATTTCATTAATGGCCCTCAACCTATTGCTTGAGTAGAAAGTCAGTCCCCAATCTTTCCAAATACTTTACATAGAACAAGATGAAAATAAAATTGGGCTTAACTGGAAACGGCATGTACAAGGTGAACTGTATCGGCGAGGCGGCAGAGATGAGTTATAGCCCAATGAAACGCATGTTTGCTATTGGGGCCATGATCAACTGCGATTATTATGTCACATCCTCTCCTTCTCTCTCCTGTTTCTCTCTCTAGTTCCGGCTCCGGCATAACTGGTATTAGCGATGGGAGTTTCACTTCTCTCCAGTTGTACTCTTCTTCCTCCATTAACGTATCCATTTCGTTGATTTGATTCTCTGTTTATTTTCCCTCTCTCTATATCGGCTTTGAATTGATTTTAAAGTTAAAAACTGACAACAGATTGAAGAAATTTTGTGTGGTTTTTATGCAACAATGATATGAATGTCGTGCGCGGTGCATTTTGGACCGTCCAGCCGCCATGGAATTTGCGTGTTGATATTGGATTAGTTTTCTTCTTATTTTACTAGCATGGTTGAAATGACGCAGAAGATGACAGGTTAATTTTTCCACATACTATTATAATTGGTTCTTTTTCTTAAATTTTTCAAAATATTCCTCCACCAAAGTGATTAATGGAATAGTAATAAATGTATGTGTATATATATATATATATATATATTGTTTTCATCTTCCTCGATCTCTGTTGTGCTAGTTATTCCCTTTTATCTCGTCGGGATGTGTAACTCTTTTTTCTCTATATTTTGAATCCCTTCATTGCGTGCTCAAAGGAGCTAAGAATTCTTAAGAACAATAAAAAATGTGTGGCATGGCTTGACATTAGAGATAAAGAAGTAGATTATGCAAGGGAAGTGATAAAAAGTAAGCTTTTAATTAAATTTTTATCTTATTTCTCTACATAAGAACAAATTTCATTTTTTTTTATCTTAATTCAAGTTTCTCTGTGCCAACTGTTCATCATTTCCAGAACCTTTTGAAATTTCAATTTTCCAAACCAATTGACTAATTTCATTCCATAGAACAATAAATTTTTTATTGGGTTTTCAGGTGTTATGGTACAAGTAAATAAGCAAGATTATCAATATATTTTAAGATAAAATGTTTTAATTAATTAAAAATTTTGGATAAGAGTATAATAAAAAAATTTGAAAACATAAGCACAACAATATGAAAAAATTGAGTACGTTCGGTGAAATTAAGAACTCGTTACCTTTCCAAATTGATGTCAAATTTACATCATATTTCTACCACTTGACAAGTTCTAAGACTTCTCATTTTCTATTATAACAAAATAGATGAGAATATGTAAACCCATAACACAAATAGTTATACCAATATCTATTATTTAAATATATTGTCGATATAAAATCATCATACTTTTATTTTGCATTAATAGAAATTTTAGTTTTGATAGAGCACAGCTCGGCTATTCAAAATTGAACGGCCAAAAAAACCAAAAAAAAAAAAAAAGTCAGATATTAAATCTATCTGCACAGCACGCGTGTTTAATAAATGCAACCCTTTTATACGATTTAAATCCTATATCTACCCAAAAGTCAGTAAAAACACAGTTCTTGTACGGAATGGAGACCTTGCAAAACTGTTGCACCAAGAATACCTTAGCAACAACTCAGTAGTAGAGAGAATAAAAGCAAAACTTTTCCAGCCACAAAACCTTAGCTACAACAAAATTATAAAAAACAAATCATAGCAAGGGCAAGCGTGCAGTCGCGACTTAAAATCAATCCCGGTGAATCATCGTCTCCTTCCCATATAGCATTCAAGGGAAGCCCTGTTAAAAGTCTCCCGAACAATCCTCCCTCACAGTTCCCCGCATTCAAAGATGCATTTTCCCTCTACTTCATTTTACTTCCAACTTTTCCCTTTCTCATTCCCTTTTCCTTCCCCTTTCCTGATCCTTTACCTTTCTGCTTTCCCGATCCTTTACCTTTCTGCTTTCCCTTTGTTTCTTTAACCCACTTGCTCATTCCCTCCTTCCTGGCATCCTTTTTCATTCGTCGATCAACAAGAACTTTCCCCTTGCGAGCCTTGACTTGGACACCCTTCTTTGCTACCACATATTCCTTCTTAGGTTTTTTTGGTGTCGCTTTCTTATAAAGCTGTTCAATCATTTTCCTCTTCAAACGATCAGATATTTCTGTCTGGTCCGCTATAGAGTTCGCCTTCTTGCGTACATTTTCTAGCTGCCTATGGGCAGCTCGTGTCTTTCTAGCTTTGGCTTGTGCCGCCTTCTTAGCAGGCCGAGCATCAATTTTTTTGAATTGTGCTCTCATTGCAGCAATCTCCTCTTTTGTCACCGGCTTGATTGGCTGATAATGCCTCTTTTCCTCATCCACGAACCACTTGGGTAATCCCTCATCATGGAACATATATTTGTTGTACGCATCATCAAGAATCTGTTCCCTCTGCTTTTTCGTCAGCATCTTCTTTGCACAAGCCAATATCTCTGCTTTTGAATTAATGCCGTCATCATCTGAGTCATCTGATGAAGAACCACTAGAGTCTGACTGTGGGGCAGGAACTATCTCAAAATCATCATCTACCTTGGCAGCTATGACAGTTGGTAATTTACTCGTCTTTGAATCCGTGTATTTTTTTTTTGGTGAATCTTCGATTCTCTTCTCCTGAATTTCGAGATGTTTGACCGGCAAATCCATCTGCATTTCCTATTCGCTATCATCATTCTCTAAATCCACTCTTTCATTGGCATCCATGAAGACACTGAACCATTTTGCTGTAATCTCCTCCTGACTTGGAGCATTCTCTAAGAGCCATACCGCAAGAGGATTCACCTCATGATCTCCGTCATTATCAGAGTCTTGATCAGAATGAACAGTGTTATGGTCATCGTCGCCCTGCCCAAACCATAAAAACAAAATAACTATTTAGCAAAGTGCATTTTGTGAAACAAAATTGCTATGTTCAAAACCTACCTAAGCATTGATCCGGAGAAGGAAAATAGATAATAGTAAAGGGTCAAAAAGTCGTTCTGGGTTCAACCAAGGTTGAATCAGTAGTAATAAAAAAAAAATATATACACACACACCCAACCCCCCCCCCCCCCCCCCCCCCCCCCCCCAAACACACAAAAATATAAGTTAATTCCCAAATTAACGTATATATAGAGGAAAAAAATATTTATTATATCAGCTACACTTAGTTTCATCATGCCCACTTCAAATGTCAATGGGAAATGACACTAAATATAGCGAAAGCTACAATAAATGATTTATATACAATATTACTTTGCTATTAAAATAAAATTAAATGAGAAACTACAGGTGAAAAAAAAAACATTGAAATTCAAGAAATAATTTATCTTGGGCTTTAGATCTCCTTGTACATTTTTACAAATAGAAATGGCACATTGTTTTAAAGTAATCCCAACGAGTGTTAAAAGGCTTGAACTTTTTAGGTTGGCATCTAATCAACAATCCCATCAGAAAATGAGTAAAGGCTAGAAAGCAACTATAATAAGGCCAGCCAATAGTTAAACAGTAACTTCCTTGGCCTCTTAATTTTTTAGTCATCCGGCCTGTAAGTTGCCATCCTTCTAAATTAAAAAAGCTAACCGGTAAAACCAGCACCAGGTCAACCAGTTTTGCAGTTGGACCTGACATTTGACCGGTTTTTTCTGTTTTTTCAGTTTAAGTGGTTTTAAGCCATCACCTAAACAGTTTGCAGACGGGTTCCCAGTTTTTCAGGATAAACCATCTGATCCGGTCTGGTTCAGTGTTGATAACATAGGAAAATGGAGCTCATCCGTTCTTTTTTGGCGAATATGTGATGGAAAATGGGAAATGTAGCTTACATCCAAGAGCTGATCACCCTCGGAATAGGCTTCTTTTGTGCGTTCTCTGCTTCGTACTTCCTTCCTTTTTAGCCACGAAGCTTTCATAGGCTTCTTCGAATAATTCCTCCAGTTGCTCACCGTACCTGAAAACAGAATACTGTTAGCTTATAAAAGCATCCAAAAAATGGACCATACTTTACAAGCGTACATCCAAGTTAAGAGGAAACTACCGCTGGTGTTCTTTATCGGTGTCTGAATCACTAGATGTGTTCCCTTGGGCTTCCTCATGGCCCCCTTCGCTATCATTACTTCCAATCCCATCATTTTCATCATCATATTCATCATTTTCGACAGCCACAAGTTCTTTCTCCCCCTGAATAAAAGCATGCCAGAGATATAATAAAAATTACAAGTTTAGACCAGTGTAAAACTGATCAAAAAAATTACACACTTGGATGCGTAACACAATTTATGAAATAACATTCCCATACTTAAGAGAACCATATCCAACATTGATTTCCATCACTATATAGAGATAAGGCAGGATTATTGGAAAACTGGTGCTCACAGCAAAACTCCCATCATCACTAATTCAGCATAATTTATTACAACTTGACAACATAGACAGGAAAAAAAATTCCATTGCCCATTTGATTTCACCCGTGCAAGCTAACAGTTACAAAAGTCCCAAGAGTAAGAAGCAAATTACGAGATTTCATCCTATACCTGAATGGAGAGACATGCCAACTAATATAGGCTATAAATGACTGATATTTCAAACAGGTAATTTAATAAATAAATAAACGACAAAGATACCTTGATAGAAGTTAGAGAGAACAATTCATGATCTGTGTAACCCCCCTCAGTCGCATCTATTTGCTTGCCTAATGCTTTCCGAGTTTTGTCCTGCAGTAAAGATGAAAGGACTTATCAGACAAAGCAGAATATATTGCATTTATTTATGCTTGTAAAAATCAGGATTAGTAATGTCTTGAAAGAGCATATATACATCAAAAGCAAAATAGAGATTACATTCGAGTGCAACAACACAACTGGAGAAAAATATTGGGTGATGATATGCAGGACAACCTAACAACAAGAATTAGGACGTTGTATTTCCTATAGAATAGGTAAAAATGTTCAGAGGTGGGAATTGCTGTCGAAGAACTCATCAAAGCCTGATGGGTAGACATAAATGCTAGGAGGTACCTGATAAAATTCATAATATATTACATCGAGAATGAGAAAAAAAAATAATAATTGTAATAGACTTCAAGTCTCCAAAAATCCCTATGAAACCTATCCCATGGTGATAGTTGAAGTCCCAGCATTGTACAGATTTCCAAGTCTATATTACTTGTTGCAAAATTGTTACTAGATCAGCTTAACAGACATTACATCTAAATTTCAATATCACTTGTTCACACCGCAATGACAATATATTTCAATATAACCTAGCTTTAACTATGCTATGGCCTCTTAAATGGCAGAGAATATAGCGTGTAGAGAGCCCACAGTGCCATGACTATGAGGCGGATGATGACTGTTTCCCATCACTTGATATATAATCGATAGAAAAGCATTCTAGTATTTGAGTATTATCAAATTATCCTGTCATCTCAATTAAATGTTAATTAACTGTAGCTTCTAAAGCCTAGACAATAGCTCAAACTAATCCGTGT